AGAACTGCTTGTTATCCAAGGGAAACGGCTTACTGCCGTCAAACTCCATCCAGTTAGCATCAAGATGATCTCTCCCTCAGACTTCCATCATAGCGTAGTAGTTTACACAACAGCGGTAACTGCTTTTCGTTTTACTACTATCCCACAGACCTTTCTGGCATGGTAAGACCTCTATCAGTATAGCCCGTTGGGTCACTAAGGTTTGAGAGCCCGACCACCATGTCAAGTTGGCAACTATCGGTCGGTCAGGTCATTAAAAGTTTTGTTTAACTTAATAAAGAGAACTCAACAGAACTCTTCCTACAACTAATGGTATGATGTCATTAGTAATTGTGTTAGAAGCGTTCGCTATCATCTGCATGTTTTTAGAGAAAATGAAAATTTTCTGGTTACGTAAGACTGTGGAATAGCGACATATAATTATTTGTCATTTGGGTTCCTAGTGGAACATAGGGCTTCAGTACCACGTCCCCATTCTACTATATTCTATGAAGTATTTTTCTTCAACCTGACTCCACCACTGCCCACAAGCTCTCATTTCTTCCCCACATCATCTCCTTTATGTCGTCACCCTCCGACACCTAACTCGTCGTTTCCCCTTCGAATTCCACTCGATAACATGGCATGGCATGACCTGGTGTGTGATGTCCACAAACCGTCTTCTCAGTGTATGCCCAATCCAATCTATCTCCACTTCCTTCCTCTGCATATTTGTTGGGTGATAGCTTCTTGGTTGGTTCGCTGTCAACCAGACCGGAGTTCCTCGTTGCTTATTCTTTCTTAACTTCTGATCTAATCCTCACTATCGAGCGAACGAGCGTCGGTGACAGCTGCTTATGCATGCCTATAACTGTAGAATTGTACGATTCCATATTAGACTGTTTGTTCGATATGGCACACAGTGATATAGCATTATTTACTGAATGACTTTTCGAGTATAATTGATTCTTCATATTCATATGAAAGTAGTCAAACGACTTGCTAACTTCTTTTACATAGTCCAACAGTTCATCATTCGTTTATTTTTGTCGGCTTGCTTAAACATTGGAGTATAGATGATTTTGCACCGAATACATTCTATCAAATTTTTTCCTATCAACGTTTTAAATCTTCTGATGACATCTTTTAAACATATCATGTACTCTACCATGTTTTTGAAATTTTTTCAAACTGTAGTTTTTCAAGCCAAAAACAAAATAAGGGAAAAACGGTACACTAGTGGGATATAAACTAAATACGCGAAAATACAGCACACTACTATCTCAAGGATACGTATATCGGATAGCAGACTTTTATACTGACTGAATAAACTATCACCGCCAAAACTCTGGACTATTTTCGATTCCAGAATTGTTTCCGGTCAGATGCAAAATATATTGAATGACGAAAGGAAGTTAATTAATAAATACTTGTGTTTAGAGTGGGAAAATAGACTGGAGATTACAAAATTAAATGTAACTGCGTAATACAGAATGAACGTATGGCAAAGTAGGAAACTGAACTAAGGGTTATGAAGATAAAATTGCGATTATGTTATACCAGATAAACCTATGACAGAGGATAATGAAAATAGGATTGTGATTACGTAATGTAGGTTCATTCTGTGGTAGAGTAGGAAAACAGACAGAGCATTATGAAAATGAGATGGTAATTACGTAATGCAGGCTCAACCTATGACAGAGCAGAAAAATGAATAAGGTATACATGTGTAGTCAACCTGATACAAAGTGAATCTGTGGCAGATAGGGCTTAATGATGGCCATGGCAAAGATAAAGGTTGGATGTATCATTTTGCAAGCACAACTCTGGCTTGAACTTCTGGATGACTATTGCTTCAGCTATAGACATATGCCTTGATTTTACTTCCTTCGAGTGATTTGATGGGACCCTGTAGAGAATTTTGAATGAGCTCTCGAAAGAAATACTATTTTCCAACATTATTTGGAGTTTTCATTTCATTAAAGTAAGGCAACCACCAATCACCATTAACGGGAGAAACTTAAAGGAAGTAGTCTGTTTCACCAACCTACCTGGCTAGGCAGCATTGTTTCAACTACAGGCAACACAGGCACAGATGAGGATGTCAAAGCAGCCAGGATCAGAAAGACAACAACACAGACCTTCATCAATTTGAAATAATCAGTGTGGAAATCTACTGCACTCAGCATAAAGCCTGAACAACATCCGGATTTTCAACACTAATATTCAGTCAAGTGAGTCAGTGCTTCTATGTAATGTTTCAGAAACTTGGTGCTTTACGAAAGGCATTCCAAACAAACTACAGACATTCATCAACAGCTGTCACCGACGCTCGTTCGCTCGTTCGCTTGCTCGATACTGAGGATTAGATGAGAAGTTGGGAAAGAATAAGCAACGAGGAACTCCGGTCTGGTTGACAGCGAACCAACCAAGAAGCTATCACCCAACAAATATGCAGAGGAAGGAAGTGGAGATAGATTGGATTGGGCATACACTGAGAAGACGGTTTGTGGACATCACACACCAGGTCATGCCATGTCATGCCATGCCGTGCCATGTTATCGAGTGGAATTCAAAGGGGGAACGACGAGTTAGGTGTCGGAGGGTGATGACATAAAGGAGATGATGTGGGGAAGAAATGAGAGCTTGTGGGCAGTGGTGGAGTCAGGTTGAAGAAAAATACTTCATAGAATATAGTAGAATGGGGACGTGGTACTGAAGCCCTATGTTTCACTAGGAACCTAAGGGACAAATAATAATAATAATAATCAATTTATGTTGTCTTAGTGGTTCTCTGTCCTTAGGTTATTAATAATGTTTTACGTTTACTCTGAACCATAATTTTGTTTACAGTACAGAATCCCCAGTATACTGTTTTGTGTTAGTTCACTTGTTTAACAAGATTTTTCAAATATCTATCAACAGTGAAGCTGTTGAACAATATATAATAAAGAATAATATAATTGTTTAAATATTTAACGCCTTCAGCGGCATGATTATTGTTCGCTATTGTATAGTTCATTGACAAGACTATGTCTAACATGATTCTCTTCTCAAAATAGACAGGTTAAATAACATGGTATAGTTATATACTTGTGTGTAGTTGTGTGTGCATAGAGTGTAGTGTATTTTTGCTGCTTATCTTCCCTAAGGACAGACATTTAGAGACGCGTGGATGCAAATGAAGCTTGTCGTCAGATATAATACTTTTAGCCAGCTGTCTACACGAGTTCATGTGCCTATCTGTGACCGCATATATCAGTACAGTAAGAAGTCTACCGCACGCTCAACCAAAAGCCTTCAAAATCCTACTCAATACTGTGTAGTCCAGGAAGGAATGAGAGGGAACAATAAATAAGTATCAGAAAAACATAGGAATTAATGAAGTGTTAGATTAGAGGCTGAGTTATGCCAGACAATCTGATTTTTCTTACATAAAAGGTCATGTGAAGGATTTTCCTGGAAGTTAGTTAGAGATTAGGGTACCGACAAAGATCAGAAGAAAAGCACAAGCCAAGATGGACCCCGCTACATTCATTCTCTACAAAAGAACCATTAATAAGACAAGAGTCATGGAACTGAAGCAATTTACATTGGTCTTGTTTATATCTTAAGCTAAAATAAACCGTCTGACATTTGGAGGGATTGAGTATGAAGCCATTTAAAGAAGACCAGTGACCAATTTCAGTCAAGAAGTCAATAAACTGAAAGCAACATAAAGAGGAGATGATCGGCGTACATACTGACAGTTCGTCTGCATACTTAACGAAATTAGCTTTAATTGAAGTGGGAAGGTCATGCACAAAGAAAGAAAAAAGAACAATGCTTTGAGAGACACCGGATTCACTAAGTTGCGAAATAGAGCACTTTCCACTACATATCTTCTGTTTGAAAAAATAAAAATCAAACCGGTTTTCAATTTCAGACTGAATATGATTTATACCAAGCTTGTTGAATAAAAGGGGTCTAGGGATGGATGAGTTCGGTTTCCAATAACAGAAGTTACTTTTATCTAGACGACAAAACCTGCTGCTAGTCACTGTAGGATTTCATATGTCAAGACCGCATAAATATTTTTTTATAAATCCTTAGATTGAAAATTGTCTCTCTGCTTTTTGTGCATTTTCTTTAGCAATATATAAAGGTAAGATATTGTTTATCTGTAATGCCAAATTTCCTATGAATACAATGATTATAACTTGAGTGTCTCTGATGTGGAAATATATAGTGTTCTTCCTGCCTGGGACCAGCATTTATAGATTGTTTTCAGAAAACGTTTACAGGAAACTCACCTACTATTTTCAAACGCATTAACTATCTACTCTACGGAAGTACCCTTAAGTTTTGCCTTCATCCCTAAGATAACTAACTTATTATATTTTTATATTATCATTGTAAAGTTTAAGCGTCATTTTCGCGCCCTTTTTGCGGTGTTATGATTCTTATTTTTACCGCAGTTTAGAATGCTAAGCGCTGATTGGGTCATTTTGCACTTTGAATATGCTATTTTGTTTTCTCTGGTCAAGGTTATCCAAGAATACATAAACGACTGAGTTTTCACTTATCAGAATTCGGTTGGAGTGAATAAATTTTCAGTCTCATCGTCTTCTTCTAGTGTGAGCTGAATATCGAGTTGAGAAGTCATTATTCTATCGTTGATCGTATTCGTCTTGGAGAGTTGCATCGTTATGTATAGTGTAGGAGTATAACAATCACCTCCTTCGATTTTTCAAATTATGTTACGGTGACTAAATTTATCGTAAATTAGAAGCAGTAACACAGAATTCAGGTAACTCTATTTCTGGTTATACATACAGTACATACTGAGTTTCCAGTTAGATTTCTATTTTGGTAGAGATTTCTGTTTCCTGTTAGTGGTTACTGATAACGGGGAATTAGTTTTTGTTCTAGCTATTCCTACTACATGTATCGCAGCTCATAAATACATCTTGAACAATACAAAATTGGGCTGGGGTATTAAATATTGGTACTTAAAGACAATTAAGAAGACGAATATTCTTGCATACCATGTCTTTTTTGAATATACAAACAGAATACTCAATTAGGGAGCGGAAAACAATTATTATTGTAGTAAAACAAAAACGACATTTACATGAGTGTTAAATGTACAATATATATATAGAATAGTCATCTGTAGGCAATAATAATAAATAAAACAATAAGAAACTGTAGGTGAACACTCACCGTTTTTGGAAATCACATCGTAATATTCGAAAAAATGTCCGCCTAAATGATATATTTGATAAAGCATAACAGAATGGATTAATAGGTGAATTCATATAGCATAACCAATAGGATAGATTGTATAAATGTATATTAACACAGCTTGTATGCGTAGTGATATTATCACAGAACCCTTTTATTAAAACAATAATATGATATGGTGTCCAGCATATCATGAATGCGCCTAAAATAAAACTTATTGTCTTCAATGCTTTACGTGCATGTTTACGATTTTGCATATCAATATTTGATAAAGATTGAAATACTGAAAGACGCGTTTGTTGTTTACGTTTAGATTTTAAAGATAATTTTGTAGGTTTCACATTTTGTTGATTACTTTTTACATTAGTATAACTATTATCACTGTTTGTTCCGCTCAACTGACCTTGAAGATGATGATTGTTTAAATTGATATTTTTATTTTTTGGCGGCAGAATACAACAAGAACATTTTAATTCAGTTTTAGTTTGTTCTTCTGTTGTTTGTGATTCTGTTTCTTTTTTATCTAACTGATACCGATGAATAAATTTCATATTATTACTATAATGATGACAGGAATATACTTCTTGGTTGTTGTAATTACTTTGAAATCCAACAAGATGATTTTTATGTAGAGGTGATTTACACAATGAAGGAGAATAATGTTTACCTCGATTCAGTCCTATACATATTGATTTGATGAGTTTATCATTTGATTTGCTCAGCCTGTTTACGAAACGTATACACCAGTAATCAGCACCAGTTGATTGATTATCATATAGTGAGCTGGTATTTTCGAATGATGTTGAATAGTCAGAATATTCACACTGTAATTGTTTAGAAGTTATGGAAAATAAACTGCATTAAGTGACCTAACCTTTTAAAGGAATTTATGCATAATAGCGAAATAAAGTTAAATACCATTTTTATGTATCTACGTAATACGCTCGAAATTCGCTTGCATCGACAGAGGCAAACATAACAAATCAGGATATAAAATCGATCAGTAAACACAAAGAAAATAATATGAAGTAACAGTAATACAAGGATATGATTATAGCTCAAGGTGTCAGGAATTCTAATCAAAGGGGGGAAGAATTATAAAGATGGGGTGAAAAGTGTATGAATTAATGGCAGACGAAAAGAAAGGGATGTGCTAACAAACATGATTAGGATATAATGGATGGGAATAATAGATGAAAGAATAAACTGGTAACTAAAGTTGTAGGAAGAGAACAACTCACGAATAGATTGCAAGGTGAACCACAAACTCCTTTTGTACACATAAATTTGGTTAGTTACTTCTTCTGCGTAACTTAGTACACAATGATAGCAATCGTTATTGATTACCTTGTAAACTGTGTTTGAGTCGATGCGGTGACCTGTATTGAGGATGTGCCTACCACTGGTGCTGATTGGTAGCTTTCCACCTCTCAATGACAGGCTTTTCGGTGCATGTTCAGAGATTCTTTTAAAAAAGACTTTGTCAGTTCTTCTGACATACATGTTACTACAAATGCAGGTTGTTGTGACTCGAAGAACATGATTACAGAAACTAATTTAGGTGTGAGACCTCCTTGTGTTATCTCTAATTGTATTTATTTATTTACTTGTACTTGTAGTAACATGTATTTACAAAGAGACGGTCCTTACTAAAAAAATCTCTGAACATGCACTGAAAAGCCTATCACTGAGAGGTGGTAAGCTGTCAAGAAGATCCATTGGTAAGTATATCTTCGATACATGTCGTGCTATCGACTCAAACATAACATACAAGGTAATCAGTAAAGGTTGCTACGTTATACAGAAGCAGCAACTAACCAAATTTATGTGTACAAAAGGAGTTTGTGGTTCACCTTGCAATCTATTCGTGAGTTGTTCTCTTCCTACAACTTTAGTTACCAGTTTATTCTTTCATCTATTATTCCCATCCATTATATCCTAATCATGTTTGTTAGCACATCCCTTTCTTTTCGTCTGCCATTAATCCATACACTTTTCACCCCATCTTTATAATTCTTCCCTCCTTTGATTAGAATTCCTGCCACCTTGAACTGTAATCATATTCTTGTACTACTGTTACTTCATATTATTTTCTTTGTGTTTACTGATCGATTTTATATTCTGATTTGTTAAGTTAGTTGGTTTACGCCACATGCCGAGTGATTCACAATGGGAAGCTCAGTGACGCCTTTGAAGTGAAGATAGGAGTAAGACAAGGCTGCCACCAACTATCACCCATAATCTTCCTGATTGTAGTGAACTGGATTATGCAGCAAACAGTGAGGAGCAACAAGATGGGCATACGCTGGCTTGACCGATGAAAAGATAAAGACCCTAGAAGATTTGGATTTCGCCTATGATGATTTATATCTAATGTCGCAAAAACTCAAACATCCACAGGCAAAAACTAACAAGTTGACAGAAGAGGCAGCGAAGACGGGACTCCCTTCTGGTGAACGTAGAGAAGACGGAGGTGATGAAGATACCCAACCACCATCAACAACAGCATCAACAACAAGAGTCATCAAGCACCATGAACAGGAGAAACTTAAAGGAAGTAGTCTGTTTCACCAACCTACCTGGCTAGGCAGCATTGTTTCAACTACAGGCAACACAGGCACAGATGAGGATGTCAAAGCAGCCAGGATCAGAAAGACAACAAGACAAACCTTCATCAATTTGAAATAATCAGTGTGGAAATCTACTGCACTCAGCATAAAGCCTGAACAACATCCGGATTTTCAACACTAATATTCAGTCAAGTGAGTCAGTGCTTCTATGTAATGTTTCAGAAACTTGGTGCGTTACGAAAGGCATTCCCAACAAACTACAGATATTCATCAACAGCTGTCACCGACGCTCGTTCGCTCGTTCGCTTGCTCGATACTGAGGATTAGATGAGAAGTTGGGAAAGAATAAGCAACGAGGAACTCCGGTCTGGTTGACAGCGAACCAACCAAGAAGCTATCACCCAACAAATATGCAGAGGAAGGAAGTGGAGATAGGTTGGATTAGACATACACTGAGAAGACGGTTTGTGGACATCACACACCAGGTCATGCCATGTCATGCCATGCCGTGCCATGTTATCGAGTGGAATTCAAAGGGGGAACGACGAGTTAGGTGTCGGAGGGTGATGACATAAAGGAGATGATGTGGGGAAGAAATGAGAGCTTGTGGGCAGTGGTGGAGTCAGGTTGAAGAAAAATACTTCATAGAATATAGTAGAATGGGGACGTGGTACTGAAGCCCTATGTTTCACTAAGAACCCAAGGGAAAAATTAATAAAAAAAGTAAATAAAAAGTTAGTTGGTCCCTGTATTGGTTCATTAGGTCGGGAAGTTTGTCATCACTAATTTCCAGTTTTAGTTTAAGGTAATGAGGTTAATTGATACCCAAGTTTCCTTACTGATGAATTTTGGTTTAAGCAATGTGCCTTTTGACACTCATGCATTTGTGAAGTGACTTTAAATGCCAACCTAGCAACTGCTGAATTAGCCAATTACGCTACTCTGTTTTATGAAAATCTACCCTCTCAGCCAAAATGTAGAAACCTGACTGGTTGTTTCAGTCGTTGCTGTGGTGGGCTTTGAATTCGCTAAGTTTGAGTATCTCAACTTGCAAAGGCTTGGTTCGTCTACCGTCCATTATTTACTCTTATTGTGGCAATGTAGCTCATAGGTTTATGCATTTTACTTTCGGCTCATTCGTCTTAAGTTTGAGGTCAGCTCCTACATCAGTCTACTGAAACGAGTAGTGCAGTTAAGCCCTCATACAATAGGTGTGGACCATATCTGCCATCTAATTTATATGGCTCATAGTCTGGTCACGAGTTTGACCATGGTTACAGAGATACAGTGGTCAACGCCAGTCGACATTAAAGTGGTTACGCTCCAGGGGCTATTCACTGCTGTTATAGGCATGAGATTATGTCTAAATATTAGTAAAATTATTACATGACTTTGTGCTTTAATGAATAAGGGCACATAATACGGAATGCGAAAGTAATTAGTCACTGAAGTAGGACCAACTTCATCTTTACTGATCACAAGTGCTGATTGGATTCCATCGATCCCTTTGCAATGTGACTGCGAGGCTATGAGACTCAACGTAGTGATGCACTGAAAATGATATTAGTTAGATGAGGGTAATCAGTGAGAACCCGTGAACCAAGCTTTCGTGCTTTTCACCACTTGTCAAGAAGAGGTATCTGTAACCTCGATGGAATTGATGTCCTACCTGAGATTCTAACCCACGTGCAATCAGCGACATTACCAGTGAGCTATTTAGGTTACGAATGAGCTCATGTGGGAATGAATTACGTAGAGTAGGCACATTACTCGACAGTGATTGCCGGAATTTGATCAGAACATAAGTTGGTTACGCTCCAGTGACCAATCGATGTACCTAATTCAGTTTTACAGGAGGTCAATTGCCGCTCGAATAGCTCAGAGGTAACGTGGCTGACTGTGGCGATGGGTGAGGTGGGTTTTAATCTTAGGTGGGACTTCAGTTTTCTTGAAATTCCAAATGGACCTAGCTGACAAATACGAACTCATATCCGTCTTTGGTGAATAGTACCTTGAAATAAATAAAATCGCCGTAAAGCTTGGACTAAAAAGTCTAGTGTTCATTGGTGAGATGCTCTCCGTTGAATATCACTAAGTTCTAGTACGAAGCAATGTTCTATGGGGTCAGCCAAGTTGAAAGTGTAAACAGATATCAATTGATGGCTTAGGAAGATAGTCAGGCTACTTTATAGAAGTTGTTAAACTGTGAACCATTAAACTCTGACCCAGTGACTGAATGGTAACATGCATAAAGAGAGACCTAAAGGTCTTGAGTTCGATCCTTTGTGGGCTCCTACTGGTTAGGAGTTCCTCTTTGCCGAGATGAAAAGGTCTTTCAATACTTCCGCGTTCTCAATCATTATCTGATTTATATCAGTCCATGATGAATACTACTCTAAAATAGATAAAATCCCTATGAAATTCAAAGTAAAGGAAATTATAACTCACCTTATCTAGTGGACAACATGTTGGTGGTATACATTGTTCCCAAGATGTTGAATCAGACAAGTAGATACCATTTTCATAAAATTTTCCATCATTTTTATATATTTGATAATTTATTAACTGTAAGCAAAAATCACATTCACATAGATTTAAACCAGAATCATAACAAACAGCTTTTTTTATCCATATAGGTGAATTATTTTCTGAATTAGTATATTTCGGTGAAATTGATTCATTACTATGAATCGGTGAAGATATAGAAACTTTTGGTGATGGTACATAAAAATTAATTGAAGGTAATGAAAAATCTTCATCAAAATATGATGATAAGGATTCATTTCTATTAGTCTCTAAATGTTTATCTTTAAATGTTGGTAATATACATTTTGAATTGATTTGATCTTCTTCATAATTATTATTTTTATTAGTATGAATTAAAGGTTGTATTGTAGGAGTTGAACAGTTAATAATAGTTAAATTTCTATATTGAAAGTTATGCTTAAGTTTATCTTCTTGTTGTAAAGTGTCTACATGTATATCACTATCAAATATCCGTATTTCTTTTGGTGAAGTACATTGATATTCATCATTAACTGATGTCAGTGTATATCTAAAATGTATTGATATAATCAGAAGTTTATTAAAAGTTATGAACAGGAAATCTTAGATATCCAGTATGTTTTTTTCACTGACTTTACTGTACATCTTACCTGTGTTATAACATATTATGTTGCATCATCACCTTTTTCAACGACTTCATTATCAAGTTGTACAGTCGTATTTATACTCTGTGAAGTAACAGATAATTCCACTAAAAAAATTGCTCAGTCAATATACAAAATATACAATCGGTGTAGGTGTTGGCATTTGTTCAAGTGGAAGAGATAGACATTGCGTCACTGCATCGGAGATATCAACGTAACGGGTAGGCGTATGATATCGCTTGATGTTTGTTCTTCATTTACCAATGTTCCAATTATTGAAACCATTTGTTATCTATGGGATTACATTGATTCTAATGACATTAACACTGGATTACCTATGAGCCACTTTAAAGAACTAATATTAAGGTGTACGTTTAATGTACAGTTAAGATTCGATGAAATAATTTAAAATCAGACAAAACGAGTGCCAATGGGGTCTCCATGTGGCCCTGTCCTGGACGATATCTTTGTGCCAAAGTTCGAAAACGAGTCAGTTAAAAAAATAATCCCAAGATTTTATTGGTATAAAAGCTTCATCGATGACACTTTTCTTATTTGTGACGAAACATGTTCAGTAGACGAGCTACCAAGATGTTTCAATGATTGCCACCCGTCCATTAAATTCACTGTAGATGAAGAGTTGAACTCAACGTTCCACTTTGTAGACGTAATGTTAAAGAGAAGGGACGTTGGCTCGATTCAAAGGTTAGTCTGTCGAAAACCAACTTGGACCGGTCAGTTCACTAACCTTAATAGGTGGGTACCTCTTGGTTGTAAGAAAAATCCCATTCACTCACTGTGTTCCAGAATCTATAGAATATGTTCAGACCATAGGATGAATGTTGAAATTGAAACTCTTAGAATAACACTATCTAATGGATAAGAATCTGAAGAAACGAACCACTCTTCATCCCATTACAATCCCTAAGAAAATTTTAACCATGAATCTGGAATTCGAAGGAGACAGCACAGCCGAAATTCTGAAGAATCGTCTGTCAAGATGTATCAATAGGAGCTCCTATGCTGCTAGACTGAGATTGATATTCTCCAGCCTCCATCTGATTCGTCAATGCGTGAAGGATACGCTTCCACTTACATCCACATCTATGTGTATCTACAAGTTTACATGCTCCTGTAGAGCTGACTATATTGGACGTTGTAAGCGGGCCATCCGAAGACGTGTTGTTGAATGTTACCGGTTTGGTTTACTGGAGGCGATCAAAGGAAAACGACTTCATCCATATGTGAACACCTTGTTGAATTGGGTCACTCAGAACCTTGAGATTCATCCTTTAAAATCATTTACAAAGTTAAATTGAACTACTCCAAAGGTTTACGCTTCCACCACTTATGCATAGCTGAAGCATTAGCTATAGATGAACAAAAACCGAAACTTTGCATTCAAAAACGTTTTGTGAAATCACTTTCTCCACCTTGGACTTAACAATTCCTTGTTGGTGACTGTTGTCAATTTCAGTTCACTTCACTATGGTATACTTCTCTTCTGTTATCATCATCATCATCATCATTATCACCAATGTTCACTTCATTGACAATATTTGACCCACATTTAATTTTTCATATCAATTCATTCCTTTATTCATTCACCTATTTTGCATGTTTCAGCTAAATTGTCACCGTCTTACAATTGTTTGGCAGTAAGTGTCTCTAATCTCATCACTTGTTATCAATTCGTTTCCTTATTCCCAGTGAACCATTTTCTATTCCTTCCACTTGAACAGATGCCACCACCCCTCCACCGATTGTATATTTTGCATATTGACTGAGCAATTTTTTTAGTGGAATTATCTGTTACTTCACAGAGTATAAATACGACTGTACAACTTGATAATGAAGTCGTTGAAAAGGTATATTTCCTTTCTGATACATGCCTTGTTCTTGTTAACGTATAAATGGGTTTATTTCGTCAGTTAGTTTTAAGTCACTTCCTATACGTATAGACTTTATTGTTAGGATCCACGCGATAATTCAAAATCAGTTGATGAAGTGTTTCTAGGAATTGACTTCAACACTGCTGAAGTCTTTATTTCCGAATTCTTTCTCGTCTACTGTTGGAGTAAACGTTGAACCATGTGGCAGTTTATTTGATTTAGTACGCATTAATGAAGTTTTACTTACCCGATAGCGTTCTGAGTACAATTTACGCCTCATAATCATATTGAATAAGCTAAGTTATTAAATTCATTTTCTACTTTATCTTAAGGATTGTTTTATAAAATACACTATCAGTGATTTTCCCTTAAATATGCTAATTTGAATCTTGGTGACTTGAACAGACTATTAGTCATTGTTTTAATGCGTCTGTTTAAGTTTTCATTATGGTAGAAGGTGTATGACTAAGTTAAGTGGATTAGTTGAGGATCAGGGTTAATTTGAGCCATTTCTTACTATGAAAGTTGGCATTTTATAGTTGTTTCCGCCGCCAGATATCAACTTGAGATTACCCCTTATATGTATAAGAAAACTGATTATTTATTGAAGGTGAAATTAAAATGTGAGGTGGGGCCGGATTTGAGTCGTGAGGCTATGAGTTACCGGGTTGGTGCTTTACCAACTGATCTTCGACACCCAGGTACACTCCACATCTTAATTTTATTTTAATCATCAAACACCTTACCCGACCGCTATACGTATTCATGATGTGTAGCTGATCTTTTATCCTAGTCAGTGTTCCGTTATATTTATCTTCATTTTCAAGTCGTAATATAACCGTTCTGTTTAAATGGTAGTGTATAGAACACAGTGTTTTGATTAAGAAATATCACTATACTCTTATGAATATTCAGACTATAGTTGTGACTAGAAACTTGGAAGGAAATGATCATTGAGTCTGACTGAATTATTACAAAACTATGATGATATGATGCAAAAGTATTTCGATAGGATTTTTCAGAACATTCTGCTGTAAAAACCATAGCCTCTTCATCAGAAAACCAGAAATTTAAGGTCAGTTGGTACACAAAGTGAACTTGTATGCACTATTCCACTGTTTATGTGTTTTTTTCTAAAAATACAAGTATTTCTGATAGAGAAATTATGGATTATTTAGTGGAGTATTTGAAGGATCTTGTTTCACCTCTTAAAGCATATCGAAATTACGTTAAATCATTCTACCTGTTTGTAGTTCCTTCTACTGTACTAAACTTTCAATTTGAAAAAGGCTAGTTTCGTGGAATTTTCTTATATACTATCACTTTAGGTTTCTTACACTGTCAATACTCATTATCCTGATGTTGCTGCTACTGCCGCTTCGATATCCAATTGACTATTAATGGTCAAGTGTACTACTACTCTTTGTTATGCCGTATGGATAAGAAACATGGACATTCAAGGTAGACAGCATGAGAAGGCTTCAGGTGTTTGGTCACCATCACCTTCTTGACATAGGCCACTATGTCACCTTATGAGTTACGCAGAAGTCAGGCGTATAGTTTAAGGGGTCAGAGGAAAGTCAGTTGATGAGGCTGTGAACATTCATTGGCTCAAATAGGTGAGACATGTATTACGCATGTCCAGTCAGCCTCTACTCTGTTGTGCTATGGCGGTTGAAGTATGCTGAGTCTGGAAAAAGTCTGAGCAATCAGACTAAAACATCGCATCACTGCACGAAATCCTGACTGTTGGTTTGAACCGTGTAGCAGGATGCGAAATAGCAGGTTGGGGTCCGCGGGACTAAAGAAACGATCGGTTGAAGACTCTAGGTGATATGGCTGCGAACCAATGTCAGTGGCGCAGACGTATACAAACATTCTCCTCATCTTGACCGTTATACTTCATCACATCACTTTCTTATTCCTCCTTCGTCTTCCATTTTACTGCTCTGTTACTTGGTGTGCTGATATGCGGTGTGACAACTTGGACCTTTAGGCTGTAATGCCTGGTGGTATGTTGTTACTGATTGATTGATATAGCTATGAATAGCTTTTAGAGCTTCATTGCTGTTGGAAAAATTACGAAGGTAAGTAAACATCAGTGATAAGATAAAATTACTGTTAATTGATTGGAGATGATCAACAAGAAGCCTTACATCGAGGTTTTGACTTGCTGGCATTCACTAGCAGGGGATATCTACAATCTGAAGAGGACTAATGTTCTCTCAGAGATTAGAAGTGAGATCACCCAGAGGTGCAGTCAAAGACGTTATTATTATTATTATTATTAGTCCCTTGGGTTCCTAGTGGAACATAGGGCTTCAGTAGCACGCCTCCAGTGACCTCTGTTCTCTGAGATCTTTGAACCTGGTCCCACGACAGCCCAGAAGCTCTCATTTCCTGCTCGCACGACCTCCTCCATGTCACCCTTGGACGTCCAACTCGTCGCTTCCCATGGGGATTCCACTCGAGTGACTGGCCTGACGCGTGATGTCCTCAGTCGGCCTTCTCAGTGCATGGCCAATCCATCTCCACTTCTTCCTGCATATTTGTTGCGTGATAGGTTCTTGGTTGGTTCGTTCCCAGAGTTCCTTGTTGCTTATTTTTTCTGGCCATCTGATCTTCAGCAGCGAGCGTAAGCAGTTGTTGATGAATGTCTGTAGTTTATTGGAAATCACTTTCGTGACGCGCCAAGTCTCTGAGCCATACAAGAGCAGTGACTTGACGTTGGTGTAGTCAAAGACGTTACCACTGATCTATTCGGGCCATATTAGTCAGTCTGTTATTTTGATAAACACGCCACAATATGGTCGGTAGAATTGGCTCAGAGCTGAAGACTAGACAATATGAAACTAGTTACTCTGAAGTTGGCAATCAATGTAATAAACTTACAAAATTTTAAGAGCATAAGAAACAAGAGCTCTCTAGAAAAGTAGCTCATTGTATTTATCGCCATTTTGTTTGAAATCAAACAAACAGTGTTTTACTTGGATGTAGCAAATCAACAGGAAGCCCTGTACTTAAGTTAAATGCTTTTTATCAGTCGTCAGCAGGACGCATCTGCAACACCGAAGGAACTAATATCTAATGTTAGCTTTAAAAATGACCGATGTAATTTGATCGTTACTCACGAATAGACGACAAGCAAATCGTTTATTCTTGAATGACCAATCAATGTACTTAATTCAGTCCTATGGGAGCTTAATCACGGCCTAAATCACAGCATAAACAGCTTTATCCCATAGTGTGATGATGATCAGGTTTCCCTAGCATGGTCACCAAACTGCTAAGTGATTGACAGAATTTGTTCAGCACTTGGAACTAGACAATATGAAGTTCACGTTACAGAACGTTTATATTTGTATAATTCACAATGTATTTGAAATAAAATAATCCTAACGTTTCGCTCAGAATTCTCATTTGGGCTTCTTCACGAAAAAAGACAGTATAAGCTGTGTCTAGTGTCAACCTTTTACTCAGTGGTCAATTATTACTATATTATTCGGTCAATTCTTGATCATAGGTCATATGAACATAAAGTTGGCTACCCGTTAGTGACCAAACAGTATTCCAGACGTGAATTTCCTAATTCATTGAACTTTACTCCTGTAGACTGAGGGTTCAATTTCAGTTACGCCACAAAGTTAAGATTGTACTCCCTTCAAGGACTTAGCAAAACCTGAAAGAGGGTCCAATCCTTAAGTAAAACCGTGTAAGTAATTAAGAGGAGTTTAACTAATCAACTGGCAATCATAACAATAATTTATGGATTGACAAATAATCTTCTATTCTGCACAATTTTTCGCTTTACATTTCCAGCCAATATTGTATGTTCCTTTTGCTTGATTTCTCATTAGTTTGTCTTTATTATTTTCAATTTTTCCATGTATACTACTTATATGTATTTTTATAAGTAGTAATTGTGTGGTTGAAAACCACTTGTATTGTCTATCAGTAGTCATTAATCTAGGCGTTTTGTTGTTTACCACTAACTCAACATCTTGTAAACACTAGTACTCTACATGAAGGAAATTATGAATATCTCTACAGGAAAAAAGGGGACTTCTTTTAGGTATAACTAATAAGCGTTACACTTGTGTGTCAATCTGGTGCCATAAGCACTTTACTGTTAGAAAGTTAAAGATAAATTTTTATTGACTGCAAAATTACCACTTTTAGCACATAGAATCAAAGAAGGATTCTTTGATATTGCTGGCAACTTAAATCTGAAACGAATAGTAAAATCGTGTTTCCTGCCAGGCACTATCCATGACTACTACCAAAGTGGAACTACAGGTAACATTGAGGAGACTGCACAGGAGACTATATTTCAATAGTGACCTATCAGTTTGATTCAGTCAACGATAGGGAAGTACAAGCTATTATACCAGAGCTTTATTTCACTTAATGTAGTGAACACATACGATTACTTCCCAGATAGATATCAACCTGTGAGTAGAACCTAAACGCTGGGTTATCTACCTTCATCAGACCTTTCAATTTCATAAACCTTATTGTTTTTTACACCTTGATTACCCAATGATCATCCTTCTTTTTCGCAACTGTAAGTAAACATATCACCTGTCTCTATCGGCACCTTTAATAAACAGTTCTACTCTGTTACCTTAGTCTCTGCATAAATTCTAAAGACTTTTTAATCGTCTAAACAACATAATTCAAAACCTGATATGGAGAAAATAAGGATGGCATGTATTATTTGTTGTAAGATGACGAAAACTCAATCGACCACAGACTTGTAAGATAATTGTAAGATAATTTACCGCTAACACATTAAATTCTAGTTATTTCAAAATCGTGCAGCGAACTTTTGGTTTCATGGTTTTCCGCCTTGTCTATTCTTGATAGTTTAGTGCTAAAGAAAGAGTGGCTAAGGTATTGTTAAATGACGATATTATTATTATTATTATTAGTCCCTTGGGTTCCTAACGGAACATTGGGCTTCAGTGGCACGTCTCCAGTGAACTCTGTTCTCTGAAATCTTTTGAACCTGACTCCACGACAGCCCACAAGCTCTCATTTCCTCCTTGCACGACCTCCTCCATGTCACCCACACCACGGACACCCAACTCGTCGCTTCCCATGGGGATTCCACTCGAGGGACTGGCCTGACGGGTGATGTCCCCAGTCGACCTTCTCAGTGCATGCCCAATCCATCTCCACTTCTTCCTGCATATTTGTTGACTGATAGGTTCTTGGTTGGTTCGTTCCCAGAGTTCCTTGTTGCTTATTCTTATTATTCTGGCCATTTGATCTTCAGTATCGAGTCAGCGTAAGCAGTTGTTGATGAATGTCTGTAGTTTATTGGAAATCCCTTTCGTAACCCGCCAAGTCTCTCAACCATACGGAAGCACTGACTTGACTGGGTTGGTGTTGAAAATCCGTATCTTGTTCCACATGCTGAGTGCAGAAGATCTCCATACTGGTTTCAGGCTAATGAACGCCTATCTTGCTTTTCCGATTCTGGCTTTGACATCCTCGTCTGTGCCTGTGTCGCCTGTAGTTGAAACACTGCTTCCTAGACAGGTGTAGGTGAAGGAGGTTACTTCCTTTAAGTTTCTGCCGTTCATGGTGACTGGAGTTTGTTGTTGTTGTTGGTGCGGTATCTTCATCACTTCTGTCTTCTCTATATTCACTTGAAGTCCTGTCTTCGCTGCCTCTTCTACCAACTTGTTAGTTTTTGTCTGTAGATCTTCAAGTTTATGTGATATCAGGCACAAGTCATCGGCTATAAATAACGATATACTACTTTTACAATCTCCGTTTGTATCTTTGTATTACATTACGATACTACTGATTAATAGTATGTAGGATGATTTATAAGAATCTTTCCAGTTCAGGATTCAATTATTTCAAAGTGCGATACTATTTATTGGTAGTGACACAATTCACTGCCTTTAAGACTTAGACCTTATCAATCAGTTCACATCATGATTTGCTTATCGAGTCCCAAGTAATATAGGTGTAAGACTTGGGCACTGTGGTAGAATTTAATTCCATATTAGATTTGTTTATTTGATTTATAACAAACAGTGTGATACAGTATTATTTACAAGTAAATACTACTAGATCACCGTGTGTTATAAATCAAATAAATGAGTCCAATATGGAGTTCCAAGTAAGACGAAACACAGGTTCTGGATTCCGTTGCTAACCACCATCCATCAGTAATGGAAGTATGACATTATTTCAAACAATATAAAGCCTTTGTGGATGAGTTAAACGTTATCAAAGTCGACCTACTGACCTGATATATTTCTTATTACACGTGTTATAGTCGTTTTCCGAGGAGAGACTACTCACTGTTTGCTACTAAGGTCTCTCTGCAAGTTTTTTCTGTGGATAGAGTTTTATGCTGTACCAATTCCATTTTGAATAAGCACTTTGATTTTGAAGAATCTTGTTTGTAACCAGATTCTTAATTCCTCTTAGCAGCATGTTTGCAGAACTACAGAGTATTTATGTATTAGATTCATTGAATACTTCCATTATCTTATAAGAAATATGCGTCTTGTAGAAGATGACAGTTTTGTGATCTATGGTTTCAAATAAATCCTTTCAGTCGTTCATTATCTTTTACAATTCCAAGAACACAGTTCACTAGTTGGTTATTCATTTTAAGGGGCATGATCTGTTATTATGGTGAGAGATGGAGACAACAGAAGTTTCTACGTCAACCGACTGTACTGACTTGAAACCTTAGTAATTGGTTGTGGGAACCGTATTTCTGAAAATATTCAACATTAAATGTATTTTTGTATCTCACTCACCTTAGTAAATGGTGGAGGAAGTTAACATAATTAACATACTATCAAACATCCATGTCTGAATTCTTTAAACAATCAGTAAATGAGAAAATTAAATCATTTGGGATACAAATCAGGAAATATATTATCCATTGAACAACTTACAGTTCAGGTTTATTGTCTTCATTTTTAGCGGTTGATTTAAAATTACAATCTAAAGAGTCACTGGATCCAATGAATACATCCTTACTTTCATTAAAACAATACTTTTGTGTTATTCTTTTAGAATTTGTAATAAATTTGTTTTCATTATGTTTATTTATTGTGCATTTTTCTAAAGTATCAGATTTGATCATACCTTCTATCAATTGATTATGAGTATTATTTTCATTTTCAAGTGAATTTGGATTACTTGGTGTCTGTGATGATAATCTTTTATCAATTCTCGATAATAACTGAACCATACGTCTACTGTTGTCTACTGACTTTTTCTGTAGTCGACGTGCAACCTTATATATACCCGCATAAAGACTGCACATTACAATTAGTGTTATCCAAAAGTAGCCTAGAGTTAGGGTTGTATTAAATATTGGATAATAAGTGAAGGAGACCTCACATTTAGATACATCTCGCTTTGGTTCACCAGTTAAATGTGACCAACCAAAGATGACTGGTGTGAAAAGAGCTGCAGGAAATATCCAACTGATACAGATCATTATGCGTACCTTTTGACAAGAGAAAGAAAAGTAAAACAATGAAACAAGACATAAATATTTCGTTTATATTAGTGTAGGTAACATTATAATTTGTCTCTTGGGTTCCTAGTGGAACATAGGGCTTCAGTAGCACGTCTCCAGTGCACTCTATTCTCTGCAAACTTTTGAACCTAGCTCCACGACAGCGTACAAGCTCTCATTTCTTCATCACACGAATGAAAGTCTAACATGAGTTTCGCACTATGAAACGTTGAAGTTATTTTATTTCAAGTACTCTGTGACTTACACAAGTATACACTTTGTCTAACGTCAGGTTTGTACTCTGAGTCGAATATTTACGAAACTATTCGGTCAAATGTTGATAATAGTTCATATAAAGTAGCCATAAAAACGTGCAGAAAGATTTATTATTATTATTATCACTGAAAATTCTTATTTTAACTTAATATGGGAGTAAAACTTAGGCAATGTGGTAGATTGTAATTCTATTTTCGTCTGTTTATTAGAATTGTCACACACTGGAACAGTACCGCATATTGGATAACATTTTGGAGATAACGTATTGTCCATATTCATATCAGGTAACTCCATAATTTTGAGAGAGAGTTTATAAAGTCCTAATTTCCTCTGCTTCATTGTGATGACAAGGGTAGTAGAAAATTTCATATATCTAGGACAGATGCAGAATCATTTCTATTACTGCATTCATTTGGTGCTGATTCGATGAACTCAGATTCGGTTATCTATCTCTGTTTCCCATAGTTTTTATTACTATTGGTCTATCCCACTATATTGTGTGTAACTGTATGCATAGCTACAGCCAAGCTTTTCGCTAGATTCCCTATGTAATAAATGTCGTAATCATTTCAGGGGATTCGGTAAGCTAAATTACCTTGTGTAATTTGAACAATAACATCTATAAATCTGTAAAGCTTATTTCTAAGTGAGTCTGTTGGTTTAAATCTCACTCTAATCCCAGCCTTATTGAGAATTCGATGTAACGCTTTTGAGTTACCTTCGTAATATGGTAACACTGTAGACGCTTTGAATTCTCTCTCAACCCTGTTACCATCATAACTATTAGTAATGAAATTATTATTCATAACACCTGTGCTACTACTACTTTTCATATTTTACTCTTTTGCTTTCTTATGAATTTATTTATAAATTCAGGTGGGTAATTATTTAGATGCAAGGTATTTTTGCTATGTCTAATTTCTTGTTGTAAATTTTCTGACCTACTAGCAAGCTTTCTTGCCCTATCACTTAGGTGTTTAACTAAGCCTACTTTAACTGAGATGGGTTGAGATGATTTTAACATTTAATGAAAAAACATATTACCTTATTTTCAGTGTTTAAAGTGGTAGACAAAAGCAGGATTGTCGGATCGAATGCTTAGAAGTACTCTTGATTAAGGCCTAGTTTCAGTTACCATACTCGGTGGCACTAACTGATACACATAATGATTATTATCATATCATAGGGCTTCAGTAGCACATCTCCATTCCACTCTCTTCTCTGTAATCTTTTGAACCTGACTCCACGACTGCCAACAACCTCTCATTTCTTCCTCACACAGTCTCCTCCGTGTCGCCCTCAGCTGGGACGCCCCACTCATGGCTTCCCATCTGGGTTCCACTCGAGGGCTGGCCTGACTCGTGATGTCCCGAATGGTCTTCTCAGTGCATACCTAATAAATCTCCACTTCCTTCTGCATATTTGTTGGGTGATAAGTTCTTGCTTCGTTGGTTCGTTGCCAGCCAGCCAGAGTTCCTTGTTGCTTATTCTTGTTATTCTGGCCATCTCATCTGAGCTTCAGTAACGAGCCATCGTAGGCAGTTTTTGATGAATGTCTGTAGGCTGGAAATCCCTTTCGTAACACGCCAAGTCTCTGAACCATATAGAAGCACTCACTTGACTGACATCAGCAGCCAGGTAGGTGAAACAGACTACTTCCTTTAAGTTTCTCCCGTTTATAGTGATTGGAACTTCTTGTTGTTGTTGTTGTTGTTGTTGGTCGAGTATCTTCATCAACTCCGTCTTCTCTACGTTCACTTGAAGTCCCGTCTTCGTTGCCCTGCCTCTTCTGTCAACTTCTTAGTTTTCGCCTGTAGATCTTCAAGTTTGTGTGACATTAGGCACAAGTCATTGGCGAAATCTAAGTCTTCTAGGTTCTTTTCCGCGGTCCAGCATACCCCCTCTTCTTGCTCCTCACTGTTTGTTGCATGATCCAGTCCACCACAATCAGGAAGATCACCAGTGATAGTTGACAGCCTTGTTTTACTCCTGTCTTCACTTCACTTCGAAGGCATCACTGAGCTGAGCTTCCCATTGTGAATTACTTGGCATATGGCGTCTTCATATAATTGTTGAATGAGATTGATAAAGGTTTGTGGTATTCGGAAGTGTCGAAGTAGCTGCCTGCCAAATTACTTGTCAGTCGACGCTGTCAAAAGCCTTCTCAAAGTCGATGAAGTTGAGGTAGAGGGTTGACTGCCATTCCAAACTCTGTTCTATGATGATGCATAGCGTAGCGTTGCAATTTGGTCTGCACATGATTTGTACTTCCTGAAGCCTGCCATTTAGCCTGTTCGGGTCGTAGTTTTGAATCCAGTGCATCGTTTAGTCTCTCCAGGATGATGCGGCCTAATATTGTGCTTGAGGTGGACAGGAGCGTGATTCGTCGCCAGTTCTTGCAAAGACTTAGGTCACCCTTCTTCGGGAGTTTGGCAAGGTAGCCCTTCTTCCAATCGCCAGGTACTTTTCATTCCTTCCAGACCTTCTTCTGATACACATATACATGTATATATCTGCTGTATTGTGGAGGATTTCTAGTTCAGGATGAGAATCATAATTGTTTGCTGGTCTGTGAACTTTTCGGATTGTTTTTGAATATTTCGTTGCCACATTGAAAAAATTTCATCAGTAATGAAGCTGAATGAATGAATGTTTTGAAAGATATATGCCAACATTTAGGGTTAATGTAATCTTTGTGAGATATTTGAAAATACGTGAAGGCAGTGCTATAATTCGTTCGATAGCATCACTATAAAGATTCAAATATAGGGAGTGATGAAGATTTTTGTAAACGACGGTAAAAAGTTTAGGATTCACTTTGCCATGGGTTGCCATTCACTTAAGTAGCATGAGTTCACAGCACATTAAATGTATTGTTACTAGGTAATCAGACACTTTAATATACGCTTTTATACAAGGGGGAATATATATATATATATATATATATATATATATATATATATATATATATATATATATATATATATATATATATATACTTCATTTTAGACAGACATTAGGGCTTAGTGACTATTTAGTGTTTCACTTAACAAAATATCTTTTTATCGTGCATTACAGTAATGAGATAATCAGGATTAAGTGATCAAAGTAATCTTTTTTCCCTCTACTGTATACTGATGCAATTGTTAATAATTTTACTTGAGTGAAGCAAACGAATTTGATATGCATTCGTCTCATATTTCAGACTAAATTAGTTGATAAGTTAGTTATTTAGATAAATAGTTGACAGATAAAACTTGCATAAATTTAACAGAAAAGAAAAGAAAGATAAAATGCAGGCACAAACATAGCTTCAAAGTAGCTTTCTTTACGAAGTTATATAAGCTGTTGAGTCAACGAGAACCAGTGAATAATACATATCCGTTTTATTTCACTTTGTAACCTCAATTTAGCATGGTGTAGAGGTCTATGAAATCTTGCAGTTATCATGTTAACATCAAACAATTTATTCCGAATCATAAACTTTAGACTTTTCAAAATGGTTAGTACAACTAGTGAAACCTCTTCACAAAGAAGTTGTAAGGTACAGTCTTAAAGATACCTATGGATTTGTTGGAAAGATTGAGGAGTTGAAAGTAGATAATAAGTTAATGATATCGTTTGATGTTTCATCTCTTTTTACTAACGTTCCTTTAATAAAGACAGTAGACTTTATTGGCAGCGTACTAACTAAGCATGGCATGAAAATAGGTATTCCAGTCTCCACATTGAAAAAAACTACTTCTGAGGTGTACAATGAACGCAAAATTCCTTTTCAACAATGAACTCTACAGGCAGTCTGATGGTGTAGCTATGGACTCATCTTTTGGCCTGCTCTTAGCAGATTTTTTATGGTATCACTAGAGAATGGTCCACTGAACGAAACTATTAGCCGTTATATGGATGATACCTTTATAGTTCTCAAAGTGAGATTCATAAGAATGCTTTTCTGAATAAGTTCAATAGTGTTCATCCAGCAATCAACTTCACAATAGAAGAGGAGAAAAATACCAGTATTCCATTTCTTGATAATCTGTTGGTAAGACAGTTAGATGGAACTCTGAAACGAAGCGTATATAGAAAGCCAACATCAGTAGGTCAATACATGCACTTCTTCAGTGTTGTACCCCTCCAATACAAAGGGAACCTAGTGAAATGCCAAGTATACCGTGTCACAGCTGTTTGCTCAAAGGATGCTATAAACGAAGAGTGCGCCACCATCCGTGATCTGCTTAGTAGGAGTGGCTACTCAGACAAGTTTGTAAATAAACTTATGAATAGTACGGGGGTTAAGACAAGAACGCCAAATCTTCTTGAAGCTGAAATCCAAGAGTAACTTTTCCAGGGAGATCACTACACAGAGCATACATAGAGTCTTGCACAAAACCTTCGCAGCCGCTAAATTATGTCCTGTCTTCTACAGCCGCGAGATTGTAGGTAAAAAAAAATAAAGATAAACTGCCTGATTCTGCCACTTCTATGTGCATTTATCATTTCAACTATTCCTGTGGAGCTGGTCACTTTGACCTTACAATTAGGTATTTCCATCGTCAAATTTATGAGCACCACCCATCATGGTTGAGCAAAGGACAAATAAGAAGAATAAAGAGCCCCATACTTGCAGACCTAGTTGACACCGGACGTCAAGTGGATACTAGTAAAGCTTTCAAAATCATTCATCAGATTCCAGTTAAATTACCACATGGATTATG